CGAAGCCTACTACAAAAGCATTCCTTCTCATATGGATATGTTTCTTTATTAACTGTTCATTTTTTAAACCTTAGAAGAGCTTTTCTTTTTTTTTTTTTTAAAGATTTTTATTTATTTGACAGAGAGATACATAGTGAGAGGAGAACACAAGCAGGGGAGTGGGAGAGGGAGAAGCAGGCTTCCCGCCGAGCAGGGAGCCCGATGCGGGGCTCGATGCGGGGCTCGATGCGGGGCTCGATGCGGGGCTCGATCCCAGTACCCTGGGATCAGGACCTGAGCTGAAGGCAGATGCTTAACGACTGAGCCACCCAGGCGCCCCTTAGAAGAGCTTTTCACAAATTGAATTCACTGGCTACCCACTGGCTGAAGATGAGACTAAGTGTTCAGTGTAAAATGGTTCCACAGTATTTATGTATGGAAAATACTCTATTACACAAAGTTATCATCTTTCTTTACTGTACTAATTCTCAGAGCCTTTAACATGATATAGGCACACTGCAAATCTTCAAGAAGGTGATAAAACAGTCAGGGTTTCCCAAACTCTTCGACCAGGGATCCTTTTGCCACAATACTTCATAGAATTCATCTCAACAACAACAATGAAAGTATCTGATTTTAAAACAAAGGACTAGAATAAGCATTTCTTCAAAGAAGATATATAAAAACAAGCACATGAAAAGATGCTCAACATCACTAATGATTAGGGAAATGCAAATCAAAACCACAGTGAGATACCACCTCACATCAGTTAGGATGGCTACTCTAAAAAAACAAAAACAGTAAATAACAAATATGGGTGAGGATGTGGAGAAATTGGAACCCTTGTGCACTATTAGTAGGAATGTAAAATGGTACAGCTACCATGGAAAACAGTATGGTACTTTCTCAGAAAATTAAAAATTGAATTACCATATGATCCAGCAATTCCACTTCTGAGTATTTACCCAAAATAATTGAAAACAGATTCTCAAAAAGATATTTGTATACCTTTATTCATAGCAGTATTATTCATAATATTAAAAAGGTGGAAGCAACCCGACTGTCAGTCTACGGATGAATAGATAAACAAAATGTGGTATAAACATACAATTGATTATTATTCAGCCTTAAAAAGAAAGGAAATTCTGACACATTACAACATGAATATGAACAGTCAAATTAATAGATACAGAAAATAGAATGGTAGTTGTCAGAAGCTAGGGGCAGAGAGGACTAGGGAAATGTTTTTTAATGGATATAGAGTTTCAGTGTTACAAGATGAAGAGGTTTGAAGATTGGTTGCACAACAGTGTGAATTTAGTTGACATTACCGAACTGTACACTTAAAAATGGTTGAGGTAGTAAATTTTATGTTATGTGTTTTTTATCACAATTAATGTTTTTTTAAACTTCACAGAACAGTGTACTCAGAAAAAATATTTTTAGAAATAGTGCCAAGACAATTTCATGGTGTGTTGCTCCCAAAAGCACATACATGGGAGCAAAGCCATTCTTACACAAAGAAATGGTGGTGGTGAACTTTCCTATTCTTTGAAATTTCCAGCATAGTTAATTTTAGGATAATGAGTATAATGTAGTACCCACTTTTTTCCTCTTACTTGAGAAGGGGTGAAAATTGCACAGTTACATTTTGTTTCCTGATGGATAACTTTTAACATTATATTATTATGTTGGCATCTTCTTTCCATCTTTATATATATGGTGTGCAAGAATGATGACATGGAGAGATGATTTGGGGCTGATAAATAACAACCATCTCCCTCAATCTACTTGATCTTTACTTACTCCCCTAATTTACTACCCACAACACATAGTCCCAAGGAAACTTGTAAGGATCTAGCGTTGGTAGGTAAGGTGCTAGCTACCTTAGGTTTGGGGGAATTTATTTTATCTGAGCAAAATCCTCTGAATCTCCAAAGCTTCTCTTTGACTTCTGATCACATATTCTAAGAGACAATAAAAACTCAGTTTGCTATAAATCTACTGCTGCCACTTGCAAGCTTTCATCCCATCACATAATCTCTCAGTAGTTGTTGTCTTCTCTAAAACCTGGGGCCAGTACCAGAACAACCTTCTTGCAGCTACCCTGAAGAGTAATGAATAGAAATGAGTTATAAATATAAAATGATGTATAAATCTTTTAGCACCAGAGACTTGGGATGTTTTAAGTACACAAAGGACAAACTAATAAGACTATCAATCCTGTTTCCAATGTATAGACATTTAGAAAGTGGGATACCATCCATCCCTGGCTCTTAGAGCCCCAATTAAAAAAAAAAATCTATGATTTCCATCAGTGTAGAGAAATGTGCCCTTTTGTCTTTCTTTCTGGAGCTAATTTAATGAATTTTCCTATAAATGCTAAGGCCATGTAAGATGGGGTTACATTTTATCTACATTGTAGCTAGACTCATTATGGATGGTTTTCTTAATTCAGAGAGTATTCAGGTCTACAGAGATTCTACTCTGCTAGCATTTGTCTACATCAGAAGCATCAGACTGAGTGAATATTAATGTTGAGGTTGTTTGCATATTACATAGCTAACATACTGAAAGAAAACAATTCAAATTAAAAAGAATCAAGGCTGACAGTTTTAAAACCTTAATGGGGTGCTGTTTTTCACTGTGTTGAGTTTAATATTGAATAACTTGGTCTTCATTAAGGACCCAATCTTTAAAATTACATTTCTCTGGGGGTTTGGAGAATATGATAAAAGTTGACTAATAATCTCTCTCTTGTTGAAGTAGTGAGCAATTCTCAACTGTGCCCAATTCCATTTATGTAACATTTTAAGAAACAATCTGTAGGCTTATACCCAGTAAAATTTTACTTCTAAGTAAGAAATCCATGTTAAAGGGGCATCTGTGTTTGTGTGCAACTAATTTAAAGGTCTTTGCATAGAACCTTCTGAAATGGAGTTAGTAAAAAAGAAAACCATTTAACTAGTAGTCCTAAAACCAAAAGTATGTTTCTAGTCTATTAGAAGAAGAATGTGTTGGCCCCAACCAGCTGAATCATTACCACACTCATGCAGTACACTGGTAATTTGTCTTCAATGTCTGACACTCTGCTTTTTGAGGAAATATGGGAAAGGAGATGCATGTCCCTGCAGGTCTAGTCCCTGTAGCTAGGTTGCTGGAATCCCACTCCAAATACATCTTCTTCTCAACCTCCCATTCATATACTGTTTTGGAATCCTAGAGGAAATGTTTCAGTCATTGAGGGCAATGAGATAGGAATAAAGACATTTTTCTCTTATTTTCCTTTATGAGCCTGAGAAACAGCATTCATACAGCTTTCTTAGGTATAAAAGAAATAATGAAGTAGACTAGCTTCCTCTTTTTTACTGGAAATTACAATTAAGTTGAGAAAACTCTTCCCAGAAGAAAGAAGTGAAATATTCTTCATTTCTAGTTTCCTTTTTCTTCCTCTTTCACAGAGCTTCCCTTCCCTCTGACTAGCTTATCCACAAGGAGATAGGTGCAAAGTTATGTAATATAGACAGAACAGTGGCTGTAATTAAGGAAAGGACCTCATGGAAGCCATAATTTTACAAGTGAGCAAACTTACTCTGTTACCAGGTGCCTTCTCCAAGGCCAGGTTGAGCCATCTTCTCATTTGAGTCAAATCCATGTATACGTGTAGTCAGAAGCAGACGCAAATAAAAACCACAACAAAGGGGCACCTGGATGGCTCAGTGGGTTGAGCATCTGCCTTTGGCTCAGGTCATGATCCCAAGGTCCTGGGATTAAGCCCGATGTTCCGCTCTCTGCTCAACCGCGAGTCTGCTTCTCCCTCTCTCTCTGTGCCCCTCCCCCCGCTCATGCTCTCTCTCTCTCTCTCTCTCTCTCTCTCTCCCCCACTTCTCAAATAAATAATAAAATATTAAAAAAAAAAAAACAAAAATTAAAAAGCCGAAAGTACTGTGAAATACTCAGTTTCCCCCTGGACAGACAGCTAGATATTAGCTGGACATTATCAGAGGCCATTGTGGATTAAATACCTCATATCCTTTCCCCATTTCAGCATCACCACCCAGATAAATGAAGCCTTCCTAATTCCCAATAAATCACCAGTGACTTTTCTTCTTCAAAAAAAGTGTCTTCTTATTATCATTTCAAACTAAAGAGCCTGTTAAAATACTAGGTACTTCCCTGCAGAGATGCATTAGGTTAGGGAATAATAACAGGCAATCTCTGAACTCTAGATTTGAAAGAGTTTAAGTGATCACTATAAAAATATTTTCAATTAGCAAAAAAACACTCCATTGGTATTTGTGAATCATCTCTGCCATTTCTGATTAAGGTGTTCTTCTTTCTAGTGATTCTTGAGTGGAAAGAGGTCGATAGACACATTTAGACGCACACATTCACAAGAAACCTGACTTCTGAGTCCATAGTATGTTCAAAAGACTTTCATGGATAGTCTTGAAGACAAAAAAAAAATTGTTTTAAGTTTAAAAATCAACTTCAAAACCCAATTTTTAAAGTATCACAGATTAATTCCTTCTCCTCTGACCTGATCAAATCTTTGGTGGCCCAGCTACACAGTAAAGGCTTATCATAATCCATTTGGCACAGACTAGCCCCCTATAATTACAGCATTAAAATGTTTTCTAGGCTTCATACATTCGTTAACAAAAGATCAGTTTGAGGAATAATGATAAATTATCATTCAAAGAAAAAAACTTTTACCTTCTGAAATACAAGTCTTTGGGACTTCTCACAGAAATGGCTCTTTCTCACAACATCTTGTGGTTAGGGCAAAATCAGTGTTGGTAGTAGCAACATAAACTTTATTATTCAATGACCTGGGTAGAGAGACGGTTCTCTCTAGTTTCAGGGAGGGAAAAATGCCAGGACCACAAGCACTCCCAAATGAAAGACTGTGCTTGCACTTATTATAGGAGTTGGATGATGTTTCAGGGCACAGATGCCAGGAGTTTTGTTTTGGTTTCTTTTTAATTTCATCATGCTTCTAAAACCATTTTTCTTTTTACAGCCTCCTTTAATGCCTTTGAAAAGATCCATTCTCCTGAGTCATCTAAGAGGACTGAGAACAGTATGAGCTTTGAGCTGAACAGAAGACTCCTTCCTCGGACTGGTGAGAGGTGGTTCTCTAAGTGCCTTATATGTTCAACCTTCATTTAATTCCACTCATACTGTACCCCCACTGGTACTGAAGACAAGTAGCGCTGCAGTCTTTGGGTACAGCCTCAGTGTTTACTTCTGATTCAGCCAAGGATATACTGCTCAGAATCTGAGAACTATAAAAATTATTTTGGAGAAGAAATTTTTGGCTCTCTACCTCCGCTTTCTCTTAGCCATGGAGAAGGAGGGTCACAGTAATGGTTAAGATAGTTGAAACAAGGAGAGAAGGCATACAAAACCTAAATTCCCCCTTAACCTGACTTCGGATACCCTATTAAGTAAAGTTAATTACAACTGTTACTTATCAAGCATGGCAGATCCTCCCCTTCCCAACCACCACACCAGTATCCCCTCAGCCCTTACCATCCTGCCGACTGCTGGCATCTGCCTGTCTTTGCATTTGGGCTTTCTCTGGACTTACTGTTTTTTTTTTTTAATTTTTTAATTTTTTTTAAAGATTCTTTATTCATTTATTTGAGAAAGAAAGAGAGAGAACACGAGAGGGGGGAGGGTCAGAGGGAGAAGCAGACTCCCCGCTGAGGAGGCAGCCCAATGTGGGACTTGATCCTGGGACTCCAAAATCATGACCTGAGCTGAAGGTAATCCCTAGTCTTTTTTTAAGATTTTATTTATTTATCTGAGAGAGAGCAAGAGAGAATGCATGGGAGGGGGAAGGGGTAAAGGAAGAAGAAGACTCCCCGCTGAGCAGGGAGCTCAACGTGGGACTCAGTCCCAGGACCCTGGGATCATGACCTGAGCCGAAGGCAGACGCTTAACAACTGAGCCACCCAGACATCCCCTTTCTCTGAACTTACACTCCTCAACGCCTTTACTCCCCCATACATACATGAGGCCAGAAATGCCAGGAACTAAATGCCTCCCTATAAGAACAGCCTTTGACCAGTGACTGACAGAACTTGGTGTGTAGATATCTTAGTGCCCTTGTCCTTCAGTTGGGGTGTCTCTGAGGTGTTGTTCTACTCCACATCCCAAGGTTCCCAGTGAGATTAAGCTCCAGTTGCTCACAGTAGTAATAACACAACTTTGTTATCAAGATTCCATTGTTTGTTTCACTTCCCTACTCCTCTACTGTGTCTCTCTCCTTAGATCACACCCTCAGTAAACTACTTGCACTTGAATCTATGTCTTTGGATTGGCTTCTAAGACACAGTTTGGGGATACAGACTCTAAAACATGAGCTGCTTTGTTAGGTGAGATTTATATACACACAACCCACCCTCTTTTATACACTGCCACTGAAGGATATTAGCCTTTTGTGGCAGCTTTTCCCCTTATGATTAAATTTTACTTGATTCCATTTGAATACGAATGTCAGGGCTGGCCTCTGCCTCATACCCCAAAACCTGCTTCAGTTCTCCCTGAACTGTGTTGATGGGTGTTCTGATGATGACCACCCCTACTACCGTACCCATAGGTTTAGTTTCACTCAACTTCTGAGTCCTCATAAAGGTCTTTCAACCCCACCCCACCCCCACCACACATGTACACACACACACACACACACAGATCAAGGAGTTCTTAACATTTTTTATGCTATGAAACCCTTTGGCAGCCTGTGGATACATCTCAGAATGTTTTTAAATTGATAAGATATAATATATAGAATTACAAAGAATAAGAGTTACAATGAAATACGATTGGTAACCTGGACTACAGATAAGAGTATATTCCTGTATACATATATACTGGCTCAAGGAACTTCGGCCCTTATCATTTCTCTTCATTTCTCCCATAAGGCAGTGGGGCTTATAATTAAATCATGATTTCACACAAGTTCTGACTTCAGGACTCCTCATGCTCTTAAGTACCAAGATCAGAGCGAAGATTTTGTACCCCAAGAGATAAGTCCTGCTTATCCATGTTGCTTCCGACTTAATGTCTTACATCTGCCCTGTTTTCCCTTTTCTAGGGAAAACCCACTCATACTTGTGCTTCTTTTATGGATTGTTCAGTTACCTGGCTTAGCTTTCTGCCCTGACATGAGATTCTTGCCTGCCTTGGATTCCTGCTTAGTTCTGGGCCACAGATCTTTCAATATTTTCTCCAGTATACCTCCTCATTATACCTCTAGCTCCCCGGCTGAGGCCCTCTTGATTATGAACAGAGATACCATTTATGATATCTGTAATTTTTTCTGTAAAGTGCTTCAGTATAGCCTACATGATACAAATGTGTCAGTTTTATTCTATCCTTAAGAGTAATCTGTAATCCTCATCAGAATTCCATATCCTAGGAATGGTGAGGTAAGCATAAGAAAGGCCATTCCAGGGATGGCTGCTACAAATGTCTTAACTACCTTTGTCTCCCATCAACACTAGATTTTTCTAATTAGCATAATTAGTGGTAGAAATGGCTTTTCATTGGTGAATTTTATAGCTTGCTAATTAGGCCAAGATGTTAGAAATAGTTTGTCATAGGTGCATTTGCTGGTATTCAAGATGTATTTATTGGCTAAAATGCTTTAAAGACACTACCCATCTTTGAGTAAATAAAGAATACGGATCCAACAAGCCCTTTACATTTACCACTAATTGTGGCACATGTTTAAACCTAAACCTGGAACCCAGTTGGTATTCTGGAATATTCCTATCACCTCTTTAAAGTAGATGGTGCGTCAGTCCTACCACTACAATAATATTGTATTTTTCTCAGGTGTACAATTTATTCAAGTTACATATGGAAGCACCAGAAAGGACAGACTTCTAGGATTTCTTTAGTTTGGCATTATATGGCTCTTCTTGCCAGTGTGTGTGGAGGATTTGGTCTGAGACTTTCTTTTATTACCAAGTTGGACGGGAGATGCCAAACCTTACCTCTAAGTTTTGGTGATTCCTGAGAGCACCCAAAATGAGCCCAAGAATTAAGATGACCCATTGCCTTACCTCCTCATTCTAATCCTTAATCTCAGAGCAGTATAGATTTCCCATTATGCACAAGACCATCTTTTTGAATACTCTGGTGCCAACCATTCTCCATAATGAGGATTGGGAGTATTTCATTTCATTGGGCTTTCCTCTTTGGTCCCAACTCTGGTCTTGAGTGAATCTTGCCTGACCTTCATCTTGTCCTGGATGATAGGTTTCAGCTCTGTTAAGGCTATTGTTACCATTACTGGTGTCAAATACATTTAATTATTTATTCAACAATTATTAATTGAACACTTTCTATGTACCATGCAGTGTGTTAGACCCAGAGGATATTTCAGCCAATAACACAGGTGAGACCTTTGAGTAAAGGTGAATGGAAGAGTGAACAAATTGATAAAATAATTTCAATTGGTAATAACTACTATGAAAAAATAAAATAGGATTATGGGGTATGGTATATAGTAGGGGGTTGGCTATTTAGGAGGAGGATGATCAAAGAAAGCCACTCTGAGCAAAAATCGAGTAAATCTTTACAACTGAGCCATCCAGAGCTATAGGATTAGTAATCAGTGTGATTTTTCATGAAGCATGGCTCTGAGAACTCTAGAGTTCATTTTTAACCTTTTAGGAACAGCCAGATCTTTATCACTGCCTGTACATTGCCTCACAGTTTAACCAAACTGAAAGAATCTCTTTAAAAAACAGGATCCATTTCACTTTCTTTGAAACAATATAATGCACAATTAGCACTTTGACTTTTTTCATTGAATTGATCAGTTGGATTAGTTTGTCTAAACTGATTGGTTTAGCATTTTGTAGTTTACAAATAGACAAAGAAAATCAGTGGAAACCTGGCTTAACTTAATTAGTATTGATGAAGCCCTGAGAATCATGAAATCTGATGTTTAGAGATCAGTGTACACAGGAAGAAAATGAGTTCCAGAAAATTAACCCCAAAATGCTCACCTTACACACCAAAAGCTCTCATGTCTATGTGGCTGCTTGCTCATAAATGTTTCTCAAAGATTCTTGGCATTTACATCACACTTACTGTAAAATGGTTTGTCATGAATTGTTTTCAGTTTTTAAACATAAAAATAGAATGAGAATATTACCGTTAAAAATAAGATAATTAATCACTGACCCGTCTATTGCTATTAGTTTTATATTTACCTTTTGCATTTGGTGCATTAAAATATTTATGTTATTTTAACCACAGAGTGCATAAAATTTAATATCATGCTTTTGAACCTAGCATTATATTATATGCTTTTCCATCTTACTATAGTGTCTGTGTTTTGTTTAATGCCTATAAAATATTCCTTTGAGCAGTTATACCCTGATTTAATTAGCAGGTCTCCTGTTTTAGCTATTTAGAGTTTTTAATTTACATTGTTATTTGAAAAATATCTTAAAGGATAAGATTATTCCAGAATTTGGATTATTTCCTTAGGCTAAAATCCCAGAAGGAAAATTATTATACCAAAGGATTTGACTAGTTTTAGAGTTCTTAAAAACTAAAACTGTGATAGCCTATAAAGTTTATACTAGTATTCAAAGCAGCAGTAGTATAGAAGGGTATCAGATTTAACACATACTTAGCAGCATTCATTTTCAAGGCTTTACTAATTAAGTGGGTGAAAAATGTTATCACTTTTTTATTGAACATTTACTTGTTGAATTTTCCCTTTTGTGAATTGTCTGTTCACATCTTTTTCCTGTTATTTGTTGATCTTAGAATTGACCTACTTGTTTGGGCCCTTTGTAGATTAGAGATGTTCACCCTCAGGCATTTTTGCCACAAATATTTTTCCCAGATGGCTTTTATTTTATTTTCTATAGAATATACAGAATTATTTGTCCGCCTTTTTCTTTGTGACTATTTCTTTTTCTCCTATGCTTAGAAAGTAAGCATCCTCCAAACAGATTTTGATAAATGACCAATACAATTCGATTCTGTTCCTTTATATTAGAAGCTTATTTATATAAAACTTTTCATTCATATTTAGTGTGGTGTATATGTTCTTTTTATTGTTGCCCATTTGCTAAAAAAAATTATCCCAGTTCTATGTATTATCTTTGCTTTTCCTTTCTTAAAGACATAAAAGGACTTTTTGTTTATATATAAATTTATATACAACATGTTCTACATATTTTAATAGCTTTATTGAGGTATATAGTTGACATACAATAAGTGGCACATACTTAAAATGTATCACTATCGTAATCAAGATAATGAATATATCCATTCCCCTCCAAAAGTTTTCTTGTACCCTTTTGTACTCTCTCTGTCTTGTCCCTCACAGTGCCTTACTCCCATCCCCAGGTAACCACTAGCCACTATAGATTAGCCTGAATTCTTTAGATTTCCCTATAAATAGAATCATACAGAGTGTATCCTTTCAGTCTGGCTTATTTCACTAAGCATAAGTATTTTGGAATTTATCTATGCTGTATTGTGTATCAATAGTTCATTCATTTTAGTTGCTGACTAGCATTCCTTTGGATGGATATACCCCAGGTTGTTTATCCATCCGTCTGTCAATGGACATTTTGTTCATTTCATGTTTTTAGCTATTACAAGTAACACTGTAACGCAGTTATGAACATTCATGTACAAGTCTTCATATAGATGTATGCCTTCATTTCTCTCAGGTAAATATCTAAGAGCAGAATGGCTAGATCATACCATCACTGTGTGTTTAATTTTTTAAGAAACTTTCAAACTGTTGCAAGTCTCTTTTCTCATATCATGTTCCCACCAGCTGTGTATGAGAGTTGCAATTCATCCACATCCTCATAACAGGTGGTATGATCAGTCCTTAAGCTGTTCCTAGTGGGTGTGTAATGGTATCTCATTGTGGTTTTAATTTACATTTCCCTGATCATTATTGATGTTGAGCATATCTTCATGTGCTTATTTATCTGTGTATAAAAGTGTAGAATAATGATGTTCCCTGAATTTACCCTGTTATCATTATGAAATAATCTTCTTTTTTCCTTGGGAATATTCTTTCCTCTGAAATTTTTGATTTTAATATAGCTGCTCAAGTTTCATTTGGGTAGTCTTATTTTTTTTTATTTTTTTTTAAAGATTTTATTTATTTATTTGACAGAGAGAGACACAGCGAGAGAGGGAATACAAGCAGGGGGAGTGGGAGAGGGAGAAGTAGACTCCCCGCTGAGCAGGGAGCCCGATGTGGGGCTCGATCCCAGGACCCTGGGATCATGACCTGAGCCGAAGGCAGACGCTTAATGACTGAGCCACCCAGGCGCCCCTCAAGTCAGTGTTTTACTTGGTAAACATGTCTGAGACCATGCATCCCTGGCTGCTAAGCACCATGGTGGACAGGGCTAGAAAGGTAACAGCTTTATTTTGAGCAGGGGGCAAAGACAAGGCAGCACTTTACAGCTACATTGTAACTAGATCCTGCATCTTCATTTGGGTAGTCTTAACATGGAATACTTTCTCGTTCTTTTAGTGTCAATCTATTTGTGTCTTTATATTTACAGTATATTTCTTAAAACTTTTGAATTTTTACCTACTCTAACAATCTCTAACTTTTAATTGGGACAATTAGAACTTTTCATATTTAATATAATTATTGATATGGGTTAGTTGAAGTCTGTCATCTTGCTTTTTGTTTTCTATTTGTCCAAACTATTCTTTGTTCTCTTTTTCCTCTTTTTCTGCTTTCTTTTGGATTAAATATTTTTTATTCTGTTTTATCTTTGTCAGATTATTAGTTTATAATTCTGTTTTCTTATTTTAGTGATTGCTTTAGGGTTTATAGTACAGGTCTTTAGTAGATCTCTTTCTACTTTTAACTGTATACCACTTACTATAACTGTACATAACCTCACAGTTTAAAAACCTTACCATGGTATATGTATATTTCTCCCTGCTAGGTCAGTGTGTGTATGTGTGTGTGTGTGTGTTTCCATAATACATTTTTATTATTTATAGAACAGTGAATTATCTTTTTTATTGTAGTAAAATATGCATAACATCAAATTTGCCATCTTAGCCATTTTTAAATGTACAGTTCAGTGGCATTAAATACATTCATGTTGTAGTGAACAATCATCACTATCTTATCTCCAGATTTTTTTTTATCATCCCAAGCTGAAACCCTGTACCCATTAAACAGTAACTTCCCATCCCCCCCCTCCCCAGCCCCTGGTGACTGCTATTCTATTTTCTGTCTCTATGAATTCGACTATTCTAGATTCCTCATATAAGTGCAGTCATACAGTATTTGTCCTTTTTCGTCTGGCTTAATTTATCTAACACACTATTTGCAAGGTTCATCCAAATTGGAGCACATATCAGAATTTCTTCCTTTATAAAGCTGAATAATATTCCATTGTATGTATATACCCAGAAATGGAGTTGCTGGGTTATATGGCAATTCTATGAAAAACAGTTAACTATATTTTGAAAAGATTTACATAAAAATTTAAATTGTGACTTCAATTTTTAGACCTTCTATATTTACCCATGTAGTTACCATTTCTGGAGCTCTGCATCCCTTTGTGAAGATCCATATTTCTGAATGTTGAACTTTAGAATAAAACTGTCAAATTCTGTAAAAATACCATTTGAGATTAAGAATTTAATTCCAGGTTATCTAAAACCTAACTTGGACAGAAAAATAAGAAAATAATCATTCTTTCCATCTGACAATATGTCACAATTTTTTATTTATTTAGGTCCTCCTTTCAATGTACCGATAAAATTTTGCAGTTTTACCTATTCATTTTCTACACACTCTTTCTTAAGTTTATTCCTTTTATTGCTTTTAAGGGCAATATATTTCTATTGAATAGATCTTTGTAAAATTATCTTTTATTTCTCTATTATGAAGTTACAGAGTATTGTTGACTTCTGGGTATCAAATATTGTTACCTTGATTAAGCTTTCATTAAGACTAGCGATTGTTATTTTTAGCTGAATGCCTTGGGTTTCTAGGAGTATAATCAAATCATCTCAAAATAATTGCGGATTATTTTCTTTTACTCCTATTTCTTTTACATGGCTTACTACATTAATAAAAATTTCCACAATGCTACTTTATCAGAACAGTGAACACATATTTCTTATTGTTGTCCCTGAGTTTACAGGGACTTCCTCTAGAGATCTGTTATTAACTATAATGATGGCAGGTTTATGATAAAGACTATTAATTATATGTATAAATGGAAAAATCTTCTATTTCCTTAAAAAGTACCTTTCAATATTCAATTTTAGCATATGCCTTTCTGCAACTGTTGTATTATCAACATAATTACATTAATGCATGTCCTTATGTTTTATCATTTCTGCATTTCTCAGATAAGCCCTGCTTTACAGTCGTGGGTTATTTTCATATTACATTGTCATAGTCTCTGTGTTTGTATCTTTTTTAAGGTGTAAGTAATGTGCATCATTGGTTTTAGGTATTTTCTGTAAAGAAGCAGAGAACCTCCTGCTACTCCACAACTAGTCTTGAGGGAAGAAAAATCCACAAGAAAAAAAAATGGGTGATGGCCTTATTTTATGGGGGATTCTTTGGTAGCCCTTTTCTTATGCATAGGTGTAAGAGATTACATTCCTTAAAATTATGGTGATTAGCATAACCATGACTGGCAAATACAAAGTCTAGCTTTGAAATGGGAAATTTAAGTAAAGTTATTGGAAACAGGTTTCTGCCCATCCCCTTGCTGCCCCTACAGCCAAAAAACCAAGGCATTAAATCGACTTTCAGGACTGTAACAGACTCCTCTCTGCAATCCCCACGTGGGCCTGTCTATACAGTCTGGGCAGAGTGGGAAGCAGTGGCAAGAAATTGCTGAAACTTTAAAATTCACATTTTTAAGCTAACATCTCAAAATCAAGGTTCACAAAAAAAATAACTCTATTGAGAAATTTCTCTAAAAGTGAAAAATAAAACAATCCTGTTTCTTAATTTACCACCGTCTTCCATGCTTTCCTTTTACTCTGTGGCAGTTTATTGGAAACAGGAATTGTGGTTTTAGTTCTGTGGTGTTGTTTTCTTTTGTTTTATCTTTGTCTTCACATCCCCAGGGCTGAGGTCACATTAAGCATTTTATAAGTAACCTGAATAAATTAAGAGAAAAACTGGGCCATGATAGGTAGGTACTAAAGATGAACAAAATGGGGTGTGAGATACAGTATGGCAGCAAGTGAAGCAATTGGAGGACAATATTTTTTGTCCTTTGAAATGAAATAAAATAAAAAATATTATTTTCTGTGCTGTAACTTTAACAAAGTATATTACTTGTGTCCATTTTTTTTACACTGATAATTCAGGCACTTTTCTTTATAAACCCAAATGTAGTTTCTTTGGCAATTGAAGTTACAGGGATAACATCTCCTTTGTTGACATAAACCATGGGAACTTCAGTTGCATGATCTCATTATCTGATTACAGCTGTGACTTTGAAGTAATCTCTCTGAATGAGCACTTTTGGAAGAATTGCTGCTCACAGGCCAAGCCCCAGGTTGCCGAAGAGGATTTGCAAAGGTATTTGTGAGCCCGGTTTTTCTTTTGGCTTTCTTCTGCTCTATTTCATTAGCACTTCATTTAGTTTCTCATCAGGCAGGAAACGACGGTGGGATTGATTTTAGTTCTACAAAGAGTGCTCAGGCAATATTGCTTTACCAGGTGGTCACTGGGAGCGCACCAGTGGATGCTACCATGCATTGCTGCAGGGGATCGCTGACACGTATCGAGTTCAAGCCTAGCCAGTCCTCTTAAAAAGCAATTTCAGGACAAGCATGAGAAACTCATTATGTTTCACTCACATCTTTGAAAACGTGACTTGTTTGCCCTTGGTAAATAGCAACTTTTATTCTTAGAAAATAAATTTGAAGTAATTATTGTAGGATCTGTGGGTTTTCACTCATTCTCAGGCACTAGTCTATGGACCATCTCCATTAAAATCATGTAGGAAGCTATTTTTTTTTTTAAGTTTTTATTTTTATTTTATTATTATTTTTTTTTTGCCATGCCACAAGGTGTGTTTTATTTTCATTAAACATACAAATAATTTGTTATAATATCCCAGGGCAAACCGGAGAATTTGGCAGTCCGATTGGGGGGTGGTCCCCTGAGAGACCCGCAGGCCGGTGGCGTCAGCACCAAGTGCCCAGGTTCACAGTGCAGCTTGTCGCTTGTGTCCATCTTGCAGGTGGCTCTTCTTCCTCCACATCACGACTGGGGTGTCTTGAAGATGATGAGGGTGGGGAATCCTCTAGGTTCTTAGGAAATTTCACTCCGCTTCTCCTGCTCAATGGTCTCTTTGGTTGGCAGGGTGTTCTTCTCCTGCGTCTCCATTTTCTTCAGCTTGGCCTTATCGAAGCTGGAGATTTCCCCCATGTCCGGCTTGTCTGCCATTTTCTTAAAGCGATCTGTGGAGTTCCGCTCCGAGCCCAGCGCCTGGTGCTCCCAGTTGCGTTGCTGCGGCAAGAGACCTTAAGTTTTTATTTTAATTCCAGTCAGGAAACATACAGTGTAATATCAGTTTCAGGTGTACAATATAGTGATTCAGCACTGTACGTCACCCCCTGCTCATCAGAACAAGCGCCCTCCTTAATCCCCATCACCTGTTTCACCCATCCACTCCCCTCCCCTCTGGTAACCAGCAGTTTGTTCTCTGTAGCTAGGAGTCTGTTTCTCAGTTGGCCACTCTCTATTTTTTTCCCTTTGCTCATTTGTTTTGTTTCTTAAATTCCACATAGGACTAGAATCATATGGTATTTGTCTTTCTCTAACTTATTTCACTTAGCATTATATGCTACTAAAATCATGTGAGAAGATATTTAAAACAAAGAATTTCTGAGCTTTTGTTTTATTAAAATAAAAATCCACATTGCCAAAATTCACCATTTTAGCCATTTTAAACTGTATAAGTGAGTGGGGTTTTATGGATATTTACAATGTTGGCAACCATCACTGCTATCTCATTCCAGAATATTTCCATCACCTCTTAATTCTATACCTTCAAATTCCTCCCTTCCTTCATCCCTTAGCAATCACTATTCCACTTTCTACTTGTACACATTTGCTTATTATGGACTTTCCCGTAAATGGGATCATGAAATATGTGAAAGCCTAATGGCCAGAAGGAACATAGGAACCATAGCACATGGTGCAGAGCAGGTGAGAAAACCGAAGGGTCACTGAAACAACACTGTATCTAAGGGAAGGTGGTACAAAGTACCTTTGGTTTCCCAAGAAGCAGGAAGGCAGGTGGCCTGAGGACCACCAGAACCATAGCACATGGGCAGACAGGTGTTCTGAGGGTCTCTCTAGGGCACCATCAGGAGGAAATTATGTAAACAGAAGGAGCCACAGTTCCGCAGCATGCAGACACTCTAAGGATCCCAGGAATCCCAAGGAACAAGCAGGCTAGTGACCAGATGGGTCCCCAGGATATCAGTGCTATGGACTAAAGATGACCTAAAGTGCTCTGGATTCTTAAGCAGGGGGAAGCCCAGAACCACAGTATGTCTACCAACTGGTGCAAGGAAGTTTTTCCCAAAGACACCAGGGTAAGGATACAACCCTGGTCAGAACGAACTACACTTTGTATCATTCTGCCAGGCTTGCAACCCAGAGGGCAGGCAGGCTGCTAACCACACAGGCACTCAGAACATCTGTACACTGCAGGGAAGTGGGGAAGCCAAAGTGATCTTATATCACCAGTGAGGGGACAGGCTAATGGCTGGAAGGACAACTAGAAACGGTACAGGGGTGGCTGGTGGTCAGAAGGTTCTGCAGGGGGACTGAGGCAAAGATGAGACTCTGGGTGAAAGGAACTACAGTTCCCCAGCACGTGGGCAGGCCCGTGGCCCAAGGAATCCCAGAAGAGCAGGCTAGTAACTTGATGCCTCTCACCACCACCCTACCAACCACCAGCAAGCAGCAGGACAGGTGGCCAAAATTCACCCATTTCTCGAGCTGGCAAGTGTAAGAACTAAAGAAACCCAAGCACACTTGCAGGCAGTGGTTCTCTGGAGGCATCAATATGAGTACAGGATGGCAGCCAATAGGAGTCAGGTTTTTCTCAGAATATGGGGAAGCCTGTGGGTATAGGGATCTTTGAACCTCAGGTGGTAGATAGGGCTGGTACCTGGATGTTTCTCCTCCCTCTAGCCTCACAAGGCATCAGTGCCCTGCAGGGGAGGTGGCTGAAAGTGCTCTTGGTTCCATAGCAAAGTGGAAGGCTGACAGCCTGAAGTACGTGGGAACCCCAGTGCTAGGTCGGGCTAGCACAGGGGAAGTTGCATGAGACATCATTCTTAAGGATCTCTGGTGGGCAGGAAGAGCCATGTTAACCCAGAACACCAGCAGGCATGTGGCCTAAAGTATCCCCACAGCCCCACCATATAGACAGTCTGGTGACAAATAGGCCCACAGAGCATCAGTGTGGTGGAGGGCAGGTGGATAAAAGCTTTTCTGTTTTCACATTAACGGGGAAGGTGGTGGCTTGAGGATCACTGGAAGTCTGGAACATACAACCAGTGCACCGTCTTGAGAAAACTCCAGTGAGTGAAAGGAGACATGGTTTCGCAACATGAAAGCAGGCTTTGGTATGGAGGATCCCAGGAATGCCAGGATGTAAGGAGGCTAGTAACTGCATGGGCCCCAACTATCATTGCTCTACAAGGGAGGTGGCCTAAGGTGCTCTCCCTTCTGCAGCTAAGGGGAAGGCTGATGGCTGGAAAAAACCGGAACCATAGCACTTCTTTAGGCTGGTGTCCAGAAGGTTCTCCAAGTGACCAGGCTGAGGATAAGATGGTGAGCAAAAGGAGCCATACTTCTTTAGCACAGGGACAGGTTTGTGGTCCAAAAGATACTCAAAAGCACAGGGAGCACAAACCAGCAATCAGGCGGGCACACAGTGCATCATCATTGAACTGTAAGTAAGGTAGCACAGAGTGACTTCAGTTCCCCAGCAGTGGGGATGGCTGATGGCCTGAAGGATGTAAGGAACGATATATAGCACATGGGGGTGGGTTAGTGCCCAGATATTTGTCCCAGGGCACTGTTACAAGAAAAGGACGTAACTAAAGGCAGGCTTGTAGCCCAAAAGATCTTAGAAATCCCTAGGCATGGGCAAGCCAGTGACCAGATGGGCTCTCAGAGAATCAGTGTAGTATAGTAAAGGTGGCTTTAAGTTCATCCCTCTTCCCTTCAGGGGGAGGGAGGGTGGGTTTAAGGACCACCATAAAGATAGCACGAGGATGGGATGGAACCCAGATGGTTCTTTGGAAGCACCAGTGAGAGGATACTATGGTAGCCTACAACAGCCATACTTCCACAGCACCCAGACAAATTTGTGAGTGAACGGATCCCTGGGACCTCAAGGAGTGGGTAGGCTAATGACCATATAGCCCATCCCAAGAATCATCACACAGCAGGGAAGGTGACTAAATGGGCCTTTGGTTCCCCGGCAAAATGGAAGGCTGGCGGCCTGAAGTATACTGGAACCCTAGCTCTAGGGTGAGCTGATGCCGGGAAGGTTACCTGAGGCACTGTTGTCAAGGTATTACAGTGGACAGAAAGAGCCACGTTTCCCCAGAACACCAGCAGGCTATGGCCTAGAGTATCTCCAGAACTCCACCATGTGGTTACGCACTGGAGGAAAAGTGGATGAATTTTTTTTTTATTTCCCCAGCAAGGGGGAAGTTAAAAGCCTTAGGGATTATTGGAACTCTAGCCTGGGTGACCAGAAGGTACCACCCATGCACCACCTTGAGGAGACTACAGTGAGCAAACGGGGCCATAGTTTTATAGCACTAAGGCAGACTTGTGGACCAGAGAATCCCGGAAAGGTGAGCAGGGTAGTGACCAGATAGGCTCCCAGTGCAACAGCACTGTACTTGGAAGATGTTCTAAAGTGCTCTCCATTCCACCACAAAGGGAAAGCCAGTGGCCAGAAGAATAATCAGAACCATAGCACGTGTTTCTGTGCTGGTACCTGGATAGCTTCTGCAGATGGACCAGGGCAATAATATAGTGAGGGAAAAGAGCCACACTTCCCTAGGATGTGGGCAGGCTTGGAGCCCAAAGAATCCCAGGGGGAGGGCAATTAGTGATGGAAGGATTCCTGAGGCACCAGTGCCATGAAGGGAAAGTGCCCGAGATTTCACTCAGTTGTCCAGCAAGCCAAAAGGCTAGTGGCCCAAAGGAATATGGAACCCAAGAGCTATGGCAGGCTGGTGCTTGGAAGTCATCCAGAAGGGCCCTAAGGGCACCAGCGTGAGGCACTGATGTTGGCCAAAGGGGACCAAGATTTCTCAGGCTATCATCAGAACAGTGCATGCAAAGACCCCCAAGCTTGCTTCGTGAGCATGCAGGCAGAGTCCTGTATGAGACCCTACAGCCGGTGCTGAGACAGGATGGAGACTAGAAGACATCCAGAACCTTAAAAGGACAGACAGTATTTTGGCAACAGATTCCATGGGGTCTACAGTGCAAGGATTGTATGGTGGCTGAAGAGACTCTGTTTATCCTAGCTCGGAGGCCATATGATAGTCTGCAGGAGCCCGTAACCAAGCGTGCAGATAGGCAAATGACCTGAAGGGCCTGGCCACCCTGGAGGAAGGGTAGCCAAAAGTATTCTTACTTCCCCAGCAAGCAGGAAGGCCTGGCCAGAAGGAACACCAGGTAGAGTCTTTAAGTAGACATACTGTGTTCAATTCAACACATATTTAGCTCCCTGAATAGGGTGTTTCCTGCCTTCCAGGTGTGTGTATTATAAAACTTGATACAAAATGTGATTTTTTTAAAAAATCCATAATGATTGCTAATAAATGCACTGGAGCAGTGTTTATCATACTTTAATGTGCAGATAAATCACATGGAGAGCTTGTTAGACATTCTGATTTACTAGGTCTGAGGCAGGGCTTGAGATTTAACATATTTAATAGGCTCCCAGGTGATGCCAGTGCTGATTGACCATTTTGAGTAGCAGAGAGCTGGAGCTACAGATCCAGTAGCCAGCCACATGTGGCTAGTTAACGTAATAAAAGTTAAATAAGTTTTAAAGATTTTATTTATTTATTTTGAGAGAGAGAGAGTGTGCAAGCAGGAGGAGGGACAGAGGGAGAGGGAGAGAGAATCTCAAGCAGACTCTAGGCTGAGCGCAGAGCGTGATGTGGGGCTCGATCCCACGACCCTGAGATCATGTCCTGAGCTGAAACCAAGAGTCGAATGCTCATTTGACTGAGCCAGCAGGCACCCCATATTTAAATAAATTTTAAAATTTCATTCCTCAGTCTCACTAGCCACATTTCAAGTGCTCGATAGCCAGATGTGGCCAGTGGCTACCATACTGGACAAACAAAGATATAGGACATTTCCATCTTTGCAGGTAGTTCTCCAAGTAATAAATGACCATGTATTTTGGGGCATTTCAAATAAGTCTTTGTGAATTTTGTCTGGACCTGGAAATGTAAGTAGGATTATGATGGAAGAAACATTTAATGTGGACATGAATACTAGAAGGCAGCTATGGGCATTCAAAATAAACGAGGCTCTGGATTGAAAAATGCCTGGCATTGAAACTTGCCTCTAACGCTTAGTGTTAGAGTAACTCTAGAGGAGTTACTTAAACTTTCCCAGCCTTGGTTTGCTCAGTGTAAAAGTGTCTATATCACAAAGTATGCGTTAGATACATGTGTGAAAACATTTGCATTGTCAGTCCCAGCAGGTGCCAGCCCTGCAGTCCACTTTTCCTTCTCACTGTTGAGGTCACTTGAGTCCTACTGTGGTCTCCTCCCTGCCCTTGATTCCCAAGTTCAGAGTTACTATTTATTAAACTTCCCGTTGTAGGGTAGTGTAGTTGATAGGGAGGATCCCCAGAGCCAAGGCTGAGAGGTCATTCTCCACTGGAAAGGCAGAAAGGACACAAGACTTTTTAGCATGTTAATGTAAAGAGTGAGCCATGCTTTGGGAAGATGAACAGTAGCATTTAGTGTGAACTAGTTGTGAGTAATAGAACTCAGGAGGAGGCCAGAGATGAGAATAGAGAGCTTGGTGGGGCCCAATCAGTGGAAAGCCTCGCTTGCCCTATTGAGTTTATACTTCATTGCACTGGTCCTGGGAAAGAGCTGAGGAGCTCCCATCAAGGACATACTCAAGGCCAGGCAGTCTGATTGAAGTGGGAAGAGATGTTTGAAGAGAACTATCCACGAAGAAAAAAAAAAAGTGAAAGAGAAGTCTCTAATGAGAGGCGATATCAGTTTTAGAGATTTTGAAAATGGAGCCCTTCTGAGTGATGACAGAGTTGTGTGTTCAGGAACTAAAGAGGAATAAAATTAACTTAAATATAAGTCTAGACACGCCATATTTGAGAAGGCAGGTGAAATGCGCTGATTTCATTTCACCAGTAGTCAAGGAAGGACACTCTCCAAGGAAATGACTATGTCAAGCTTAAGGTACCTGAATTTCAAGCAGTATCATCTAAAGCACTGGATTTTTCCAAGATGTGACCCATCATTTGTTTTGTGTTCCTGCTTCCTAACCATTATGAAGATGATAATCTTTCCTAGAACTAGTTTTCTTAAGTCACAGAAAGCCACATTCCTTCATAGTTAGGCGATGGGGAGAGGTGCTCACTTAATGAATTATACTGGGGCATGTAGCATAAAAGAGTTGACTTCTAACTATTTTTTTGCATGGATTATCTGCCACTAGGGATAATGACAGCAGATATTTAATTCCTGTCCATCCTTTCCATGCCGTCTGAGCTCTTTGGTTCCCTCCAGTGATACCCTCAAGTTTCCCTACTTGCACATACTTGAGTAGCCCCCATGTTAATACTGGCCCAAAAGAAGTACCACTAAAAAGGAAATATAAAACTTAACAGCCAGAAGTATACTTCAAAGCCAAGTAAAAATGACTTGGGGATCACTCTAGTTGGAATTATCTACCTTACCTCTCTTCCACTCTTGAAAGGTAACAGGGCATTTCTTTTTGGCCATCCTAGTCTTTTTTGTGAACTTTCCCTTCTCCATTATTTCAGGGCAGAATCATACCGTGCTATAAAACACTGTACCACTTACAAGAATGGGAAGAAATACAGCAGCCCTCACTGTTAGGATCTTGGGGTAAATGTAAAAGCAGGTGAGTAATATTTTAGGGATTATTTACTGCCTCAGCTTTAAAATAAGCAACTACATTATTTTTCTATCTCCATTTCTAATATTTGGGTCCTATTCCAGTTTTATTTCCAGGACCATTACTTGGAATTAGACAGGGAAATGGAGGCATTAGAATTTGGACACTTAAAATGTTGATTTGAAACTACGGACTTATATGAATTTTTAAATCGCCAAGGACATTTTCAAAACTTGAGCTTTCAGCTTTTATACTTTTAAAGTTTACTTCCAGCCTCTCTCAAACCCTTGACTGTTTATCACTTTCTCTGAATTATTAACACCAAACACTTCAATGATATAGTTGTATTTTCTATATGGTGCTGAGGCTCCCAGATCACTTGTGTTCAGCTGCAAAAGAAAAAAAAAGAATTAAAAAGCTTTTCTTCCCTGGGTTCCCCACATAAAAGTCACTGCTCTATGGAGATTACCATCTGTAAGCTAATTCTGAAGTTGTTAATGGCAAGCATCAGAGCGATTGGCATGTGTTTTCAACACACGGTTTAAGGTTTAAGATGATCTCTCCCACTCATTTGCGAGAGCTGTATGACATAGCACTATATTCTCTCTAGGGGGTTCCAGCAGAGTCTTTTCCTTCATTTGCTTTAACTGGCTTGTGGAGCATTTTTAGAGAGTGTAGATTAACTCCTGAACACAAAGCAAATCTGTGCTACTTGATTTGTTGTAAAACCATAACACGTTTTTCCATTGATTTCCAGCTTAGCCACAAACATTCTTCAGACTTCTCCTCATTCCTGAGTTTGAACAAACCTGAATGGAAAAGAAACTGCCTCTCTTTTCAACAAACTGATTCCAAGTGCCCCCTGGGAGGAAGGACAAGGAAAAGAGTCCCATGTTTCAAGAACAATAGGATTCTAGAAAAGGTACACATGTTCTCAGACAATCTTGTACAAACTGCAACAGTTGGTTAACAGGCAAATATTTTCCATAGCCTGAAAAATATCCTGAAACATTCCTACTTTTAACAGTGTCTCGAGGCAAGCATGACAAATGACTATGAAAAGCCAAGAACTAAAATACTATAGAATACGGGAGGTTTTAATTTCTTTTTTAAATTAAAGCTTTACCTTTCAGTCACCTAAAATTTCTTAGGGTTTGTTCTGATTTTTGTTTCCAGCCCTGGAGACTCTGGAAGGAAAAACATCTTGCTAGTGTTGGATAAGTTCGGAATGGCACCCAAAACAAAGCAGGTTATTTTTTTCTTCAGTCTTCCTTCCTGCTTTAAGCAGGTGGCGGAGATCTTAACTAGGAGTGCTCCCATGATGACATACCAAGATTTTACGTGTCGAGGTTTCAAGGAACAAAACAGGCAGACATTTAAAGCTAAAAATATCACACACACACACACACACACACACACACACACACAGAATATGGTAAGTTCCAACAGAACTTTGTCATTATTGAGCCCCAGATTTGACAATCATTAATTTGCTATTAATAAGTCTTACTGTTAGGGGGACTCACTTCACCAGCCGCAGGAAGAGTTTGTTCTTTAGACAACCATTGCTTTAAGCGCTCTGTCAAATTGATTCAGACATTCAAGGTAAGAAAAAGGGATGTAATTAAATCTTTTCAATAGACTGGCTAAGCACTCATCTGCTGCCACTGATAGATCCAATTTGGGAGTTGCTGAGATTTCTTTACCTTCTTCCTTAATACATTTTTTTGAATGATCTTGAGTGCTTTAAATGCTTATCAGTCCATAGTAGAATCAGCATTACTTGGTAATGTTCAAACCATTTCTTCATTCGATAAAGAAAACTCACCTCAGTAGACTACCTGGATAGTTTTTACTAACACTCACAGTGTGTGTGTGACAAATGACGGGTATACATGGGCGTATATTATTGCCTTAAATTGGGGGTTGGCATACAGTGGAACTGGCCGTGATGAGATTATCTGTCAAAGTCAGTAATTGCAGATGGTTTCCCCCTGACTTTTTTTGCCCAGGCATTGAAAATTAAGCGTAAAGAGAAAGTCTTTTTCTGCTGTGACCTACCGAGCTCACTTATATGTCACTGCCTTCCCTCCGCAGCTGCTCCTTCGGTCCACCTTCTCCCCTCACACCCTTAGTCTCCTTCAGCTTTGTCATAGGTCCTTGACCTTCCTACCTCAGGGGGGACGGAATAAATTCCAGGAGTGTGTGGCTTACTGTAAATGTGTGGGAAAGGCTGGTCTGAGCACAACTAAAGGTCACTTTGTAGCCTACCGTGCTTGATCTGTGCCCTTTGTGGATAGTAGTAGTAAATATATCAGTTCTTAGCCTTGGGGTAGTTCTAAATACCAGAGTCATGGGGAAATCCAATGGAAAATTGTGCTGTCTCAGTAAAGGGGTTTTTCTGGCCTTGTGCTACTAAAATCAGCTATTTTGCCTGGAGAAAAAATGGCCTTTTCATTTATGTGCGAAAGTTGTCCTACCATGAATGGAAAGGCGTCTTAAAGTGCCAGCAAAGTCCCCATAGAAAGGATTCTCCACTTGCTCATTTCTGCTGATGATCCTGTTGAGTTGCTTAGCATCTGTGCTTTTCAAACGTATTCCGAGATTGCTACTGAAATACAACACTTGTCGCTGAGAGCTACCAGTGGTACGGTGAAGACTGGCTCCAATGTGCGGTACAAGGAAAAACAGTGACTCCTGAAGCTAGACTGTATTGAGCAGTTACAGTGGGATGCCTTTTGGGGTGCCAGAAAAGTTAGAAACATGTATTAAATTGCACCAGTGTCTTCCAGTCTGGTTGGGAAGGTGAGACATAGACAAATGGAAAACCAGCAAAGATTTACCAAGCAACAAATTGAATAACATATGCAATAACTATTGTATCCATCAGCTAGTGCAACTAACAACCACAGAATTTCAGTGGTTTATATTACAAATTGGTTTCTCTGTGATCCAGCTGGAGTTGGGCTCCCAAAGCTCCCAGAGAGCCAAACAAGCAATTCCTCCTAAGGCACAGTGCTGAAGCAGCACCCAGTTGGATGTGTCACCACAGCATTGCCTAAAGTAAATGACATGGCCAAGTCCAATATCAGTGGGGCATGGAAATAGACTTCTTCTGTAAGGTAGGAAGGGGAGTGAGTCATTACTGAAAAGCACCCCCTAATCTACCACAACTATACTGACTTTTCAGTGCAGAAGTAACATGGCGTATTAGGGGAATCTGTATGGTGGGTGGGTTAGAACAGGAGTTTTGAGAACTCTAGGAACTGCAGATGCATTCTTGGCAGTTAGGGAGTTATAATCTGTGACTCACGGCCTATCTATAAACTGTCTATAAAATGTTTCACAGTTTGTTCAGTCAGCAAGAAGATAAGTTACAGTTTTCTCATCTCCGGTGAAAAGGGAGAAAATGCAGTAAATTTTCCAAACCAGGACATATTAGAAAAGGAAATGTATTCTTTCGTTATAAAAATAGTGGGGTTTTTTAACTAATTCTTTTTCAGTTATATTTTTGTGGAGAAGTTCAGTGATATTTTAAGCTGTTCGGGAACACCTCCTTTGGTAGCTCTTGGTAATTGTTGCAACCGGCCTCCAAGTTACAGTCCCCCTGGATTAAAATGTGTGTTCTCTTCACCACCACTCTGGCCCTCTAAGCTGGTCCTCCGTGAAATTTCTGTCCGTCTGATATCGTCTGAATAACATATCCATGGATGGTTATGCAGCCGAATATTGCTGCGATATTGTCACATATTTATTTTGTCTCCATTTACCCCTCTCAGGGATATGTGATTTTTAAGCGTCCAGCATGTTGATAGGAGTGAGTATGTGTATAAGAAGGATGAAGAAGGATACGGAGAAAAGCTTTCGATCTTTCTTTTAAATAACTGTAACAGGATTGAGTCATCTGGATGACAATTAAAATTCATTAGCAAAGGGAGAAGATCCAAATGCAGAACTGGGACACCAATATGTGAAATTTTACTGTAAGAAATGCCAACTATATCTCTAACTGGCTGTATGACCTTGGAAAGGCACATTTTCCAGGGTACACTTTTTCCCTGTTTAAAAAAAAAAAAAGATTGGACTAGATGGACTTTAGAATTTTAGTGCTGGTGCACTGTTTTTAATTGAGCATGTGCTATTTGTCCCTTTTACTCTTTTTATTCAATTTACTTAAACTGAAAAAACCAAAACCAAAAACAGTTCATCCATTTCTCCTACCTCCCACCCCTGGCAAACATCAATCTGTCCTCTGTCTCTGTCAGCTTAGTTTTTTGTTTGTTTGTTTGTTTTAGGTTCCACATATGGGAGAGATCATACAGTGTTTGTCTTTCTCTGTCTGACTTATTTTACTTAGCATAACACCTTCAAAGTCCATCCATGTTGTCACAAACGGCAAGATTTCATTCCTTTTTTTTTTTTTATGACTGAATAGTAATCCATTCTCTCTATATGCCCCCATTTCTTTATCCATTCATCCACTGATGGACACTTAGGTTGATTCCATATCTTGGCTATTGTAAATAATGCTGCAGTGAACATGGGGGTGCAGCTATCTTTTTGAATTAGTGTTTTCATTTTCTTTGCATCAATACACAGAACTGGAATTGCTGGATCATATGTTAGTTCTATTTTTAATTTTTTGAGGAAACTCCACACTGTTTTCCCTGGTGTTTATGCCAATTTATATTCCCAGCGACAGTTCACAAGGGTTCCCTTTTCTCCATATCTTCACCAACACCTGTTATTTCTAGCCTTTTTGATAATAGCCATTCTGACAGGTGTGAGAAAATATCTTATTGTGGTTTTGATATGCATTTCCCTGATGATTAATTACATAGAACATCTTTTCATATGTCTGTTGGCCATCTCTTTGTCTTCTTTGGGAAACTGTCCATTCATACCTTCAAATCATTTCTTTGCTATTGAGTTGAATGAGTTCTTTGTGTGTTTTGGGTATTAGCCCCTTATCAGATACATGATTTACAAACACTTTCTTCCAGTCAGTAGGCTGCCTTTTCATTTTGTTGATGGTTTCTTTTGCTATGCAGAAGCTTTTTAGTTTGATACAGTCCCACTTACTAATTTTTGCTTTTGTTGCTTTTTGTGTCAGGTTAAAAAGGGGAGGGGAGATGGACTGGATGGACTTCAGAATTTTAGTGCTGATTCTCTCAAGCTCAAGTAGTAAAATTTTAAATTCTGGGATCAGGTTAGCATAAAATAAATACAGGGAGCACAGAATTCACATTGACTTAGGGAGACAAAAAATAATGAACATAATCAGCATTCTTCCGTTGAGGACAGAAGCACAGTTCATAGAATAAGGGTGTTCAAAAAGCAGAGTCAGACATACAGGATCAAAGTTGCAAGGTGAGCCACTTGGCTCACCCTGACAGCCAGCCTGTGCATCAGTAGCCTGATGCTGGAGTGCTAAGTTGCTCCTAGAGGAGCATTACCTTTAGCACCACGGGCAAGAAGATGTCGAATAGTAGGCCTTCGTAGATGATAAAGTTACTCACCTCACAAATTGGTAGTTCATAGATGATGCTTTAAGTCCCTGGCTGTACATATCATAGACATTATTCCTTTTTATGTTAGAAAAGCTTTTCTTCGTCATTGTACAATTTGGCTAGATGCTATCTTTGAGTTTCCCCAGAGTTATGATTGCTTAAAGAAGACATTAGTTCCACTGAATCCTTGGAAAATGCATCCCACTGGAAGCCTCTTACTTTGATTTTCAACATAAACCACCCACATTTGGGTTCCTTTAATAATTACAACAATTCGATTTTTTTAAATGTAATAAGAATATTCTGAAATTTAGTGTGCCCCTGTTTCTTGCAGGAAATTTCAGATTACATGATATATGGAAGAGTATGTATTTTGCAC